AAACCCACCAGCCACTCCTCGGAAGGAAGATTGGGCAATCTACTTCTGTAGTGATACTGCCTTGGAAACCCAAGGAGGGGTCACTATGAGTCAGATCCGATTAGTCCGCAGTGAGTTAGATGGGTGTGTTTGAACTTCTAGCCTTTCAACTAGTAGTCAAATGATTAACTGTTTGCACCACCCAGGCACTCCCACAAAGGCACAACACCATTAACAAAATCATGAGCATAATTAACACAAACTTCATGATTTGGTTACTATCTTAGATTCTATACTGCTATAAAAGAAGTACCACAAGTTGGTGGCATTAACAAACAGAAATTTATGTTCTCTCAGTTTAGGGGAGAGTAGAGGGCACTGGATCTAGGGGAAGGCATTCTCTTTGCCTTGTTGGGGAATATCCTTGTTTCTTTTCTGTTTTTGTGCCTTGGTTCTTGGGCAGTCACGTGGCTTTTATCTTCTCCATCTCTGCATTTTTGCTGCTTGCTTAATCTACACTTTGATATCCCAAAAGAGATTGATTTAAGACACACTCTATACTAATAACTGTCTTATTAACATGACAAAGAAAACTAGTTCCCAAATGGGATCCATAACCTCAGGTATGGAGATTAGGATTTACAACACAAATATTTTGAGGGATACATTCAATCCATAACTGTTACCTCTGGGAAGAGGATAGAGACGATGTAGAACTTCAAAGGGTTAAGATCAGAAATTAACATAGGAAAATGCTCTGTTTTCTTGTTAGTGTTGTTCTGTATCTTCCACTCTTTCTAGGCTGTATTTCCCTCTCATACTACATAATGCCACAGTATATACTAAACATATATATTATACAAATTCTAGGAGAAAGACTTGCTTTCTGTATTCTTTTACTTTTGTACTGGAATATATTATATTCAGAAAAGAACGCAAATTCTAAGTTCCTGAGCACACAGTTTGACGAATGTTTACCTACATACATAGTTAACTCAGATCCATACAGACTGTTTCCAGGAAACCTGCCAGATTCATTTCTCTCCCAGTTAAGTGATAAGTCCCTGCAAAAAGGGCAAGAAGGCCACATGTTCTGACCTCCACTAATCCCACAAGAGGAAGGCAGAATCACCATCAATAGCGCAAGGCCTATTACTTCAAGGCCAGACATGCTGCCTCCCTCCAGCCCTTTCACCAACCGTTCTTCCCAAAGCATCCACCACCTCTCTCCTTGGTTCAATAATTGGCTGCAGTGGCCACACAGAGCTCACAGATTATGGGGTTTATTAGGGAAGCACCACAGGCTACAATTCAAGTTCAGGAAAAATGTTCAGTCTCTGTCCCAGCCCACCATCCCTCAGCCAACAGTCTCTCACAGTCTCTTTCCCAGCAGTGCTGGTCCCTCGGTGTCTCACTCAGCAATGTGTGTCTCTTGTGTCTCTTTCCCAGCA